AAAAAAAAAAAAAAAGAAAGAGAGGTAACAAATGTTTACATTGTGGGATTCAAAATGCCAGTTGATCAAATACAATATTCTGAAAAATACAGTGATGATAAATATGAATATAGGTTTGTATAAAAATACAGTTAATATACATTAAAATGTTACACAAATAACTGACATATTATTAGAATATTGTAGTATATTAGTAACTTTTTGTGAGTATCGGGGTTTAATTTGTGTGCACCTCATTTTCCTATGTTCTATATTGAAATGAAGAAATTATAAAGTGGCTACTTTATCAAATTTGATTGGAAGCAATTAGTTTTTAGTAGCTTAGATTATTTCAGCAATAATCTATAAATATTATGAATAATTTGTGTAATATAATGGTGTAGGTATTATTGTTATATCGTTGGACATAGGAATCAGAATTTTGTATTGTAACAACAAAAATTAAAATTTTGTGTAAATTACTGCTTGTTCATAGGCATGTTATTTTGCCACTTGATTTAGCGAGGCATGTTCCAAAAACTCATCTTATGTCAGAAACTGAATGGAGAAATTTGGGAGTTCAACAAAGTCCTGGTTGGGTCCATTATATGATGCATGTGCCAGGTATGTAATTTAACAATATTTTTATCAAAGTATGTAAAAGTTAAATGAATAAAATTATGGAAATATTATTCTACGTATTGTAGTCACAGAATAATAATATTTAAGTTTAATGTTTTGTTTCATCATATGTCTTGATTTGATCGCAATAAATAATATTAGAAAATTTATTATATTATTATACAATATCTGACTTTATATTGACATATAAATCGCTGGTTCGAAAAAGTTGTAACACATTTACTGTTTATATAAAAAAGTTTTTTTTTTAATAATCATGTATAAATTGATATACAATTCTGGTAATAGCTTTTCATTAAAGAGTTTAATTGATTCATAAAATAATTGTATTATTGTTCACTAGTAGACTAATGTACTTAAAATTTTGATTAAAAGTGTGACAGAAATAAAGTAAAAAAGTAAAAGCATAGATAAGAAATACACTACAAAAAAAGAAGTTTTTATAATATTTATGTATTAAATATATGATTCGTAAAGTAATACAAGGAAAATAAAAAATAATGTATTTAAGTAATCAGTCTCAGTGTCCCGTAACAAATATAAATATTAAAATGATCTATTTTAATATTCCGAACATTTAAAAATTGTCCAGCACATTATAGTACAGTACTAAATTAATTTATTTATATTTATGAAACTCTCTGAAACATGGGGTTAAACACAAGCCAGGTTTTGATGGACAATCTGAACAGTGATAAATTGTATCTAACCTAATATTTTTTTTATCATTACATAATTTACATCGTCTTCTCATAATTCTATTATTCGCCCCTTTTGGAAGTAATTCTGGTAAATGTACTTTAAATTGTGGTGAAAATGATGGAATATTTTGATCTGGTGGAGGCAATAATGTTGAGACAATTTCAAACTGGAAATCATGTAAATCTTTTTTTATGGCTCCACTATATTTATTATAAAGTATGTGAGCATTATTGAGCATTATATGCATTACACGTATGCCCAGTTTCTTGTACCACTGGAGAGTTTTATGGGTTAAAGGATAATATGATAGCATCTGATCTTGTCTATCAACTTTCTGCATATGTTTGTTATATTCTACAATGAGTTGTGGTTTTTTCTTCTCTTCTCCTTGTTTGTTCTTAACATTTACAAGTTCCCCTCCATATTCACTTGAAATGCTATAAATATTCTTTCTGTCTTTCCACTTACAGCAACAAACTCCCTGTTTGTTATACTTATATACGAATTCACCCATTTGTAATTTTTTCTGTATTACTTCGGATGGGTTACCTATTTTCTTTGGTTGTAAACTTCCAGTGCAATAAGTTTTATTTGCAAGAAGATCACTAACTAGTGACACGCTACTATAGTAACTGTCCATAAAAACTGCATGACCCTGGCCTGTTCTCCCATTTAATAACTTATCAACAATTGTTCTGATACAATCCTTATCCCCTACGTTTTCAGTACTTGAATTCCCTTGTACGTGTAATTTATTAATTATACCAGATGGTTCACATAAGGCGTGCAATTTTATACCACATTTATGTTTTTTATTAGATGGATGATTCTTAGAATTTAATTGCCCTCCCCATAGAACCATGCTTTCTTCTATCAAAAGTTCTTTGAAAGGACTATAAATTTTATCCATGTTTTGATTGAAATAAGTAATTATAGTATTTATTTTACGTAAACTATCATCAGAGTGTTGTAATCGATCAAAGTGGAGACACCTTAAAATCAATAAAAAGCGATCACGACCTATAAATTTTCCAAAAGGTAGATTGAACAAATAATGTTTCCTCCAACAATCATTCATGCGATTTATTCTGATGAGTCCCATCAAAAATAGTATTCCCAGAAAGATTTTTATTTCATCTACGGTAGTGTCTTTCCAGTCAGAAATTCTTGCTCTTTCACCGCAATCTTGTAAAAATACAATTTCAGCATAAGCATTAGTTTCTGCTACTAAAAGTTCTAAAAATGTTGATGTGAAAAACAGGGAGAAGTAAGAGAAAGGTGTTTGGTCTTGTACTAATTCCTTCAATCCAGGATTTCCAATAAATTGTATATTACTTCTTTCTGGAGGATCGTCCAACCACTCTTCAACACCTAATGAAATTTTAGCAAGAAAATTAAATCCATCTTTATCCGAATTATCATCATCCTTGATCGAATCTTCAGAAACTAACGTATTTTCGTTTTTGGACAAGTTACCTTCTTCTAATTCTCTTTTAATTTCTTCTTGAGAATTGCCTTTACAGTCATTTAATTTCTTTCTTCTTTTTACATTTGGTTGAGAGATACACAAAAAATGTCTGCCATCAAAAGACATCTTCTGAAATATTAATACATAACAAATAAATGATAACGTATACAATTGTTATTTCTTTAATAATTTTACACATTATGTTATATAAAATAGTAAAATTTAATTTTAACAATTAATAGAATAAACAGAGTATCTATAATTAAGAAACAATAAAAACTAAAATTATTTCATCAAATATTGCTTAATTATAAACTATAATTAAATTGCGTAGAAAACTATATTTATGATTTAAATTATGTGAATCATAAGAGGAAATATAATTTAACATACCTACGCTGTAAATAACATAAAATGGTAAATCTGAAAATGAATTACAGAAATATAATTATGTATTCAATTTAAACCTTCACAGAATAATATTCAAATAAAAAGGAGATCAAAACAATGATTTCCTTACCAACAGTAAAATTACGATTGTACACCAAAAAACTGTTGTTAAGGTTCCTTCTTTCGTTTGAAACTGTAATTGGCATAAATAATATTTATTTATAAACATGTCTACACACGAGTAAGTACAAGAAAGAAGGGTTTTTCTAATCATATATTTCCCCTGAAGAATCAATGATTTTTATCGTAAACAAATCTCGTTGGTATTGAACTTAAAACTGAAATTATCAATGAAATGTTTCTACTCATAAATGGAACATTACGGTTACTATATACATACATGTAACTACTATGCAGGCTGTTTTCATGGCAGGCGGTACCCCCTCTCTTTGATTGATAATAAGGGTAATGCTCAACGCCTCTAGGGCGTTGTCCGCCCAATGGAGTTATCAAATTTTCCTAGAAATATGTTGTATGAATTTAACAAAGAATGAAATAATTTTTTTGTTCAAAAACTTATTGGGATCACTATATAAACACTGTTACTTAAAAACATTTATTTATTGATGATAATGGAGGCGATTGTATGAACAAAATAAGACGAATATTAAGAATAACGATTTTCCGTTTCAAGCTTTTTTTTATTTTCCGATCTATAAGAAAGATATTGTACCTAAGAGAATACTCAAGAAAAAAACATACAACGATTAAAAATCCTTTAATTATGTTTTTGCAGTTAAAAAAATATTAGGTTTTTATTTGTTAAGTTTTAACGTATAAAAATATATATATTAATATGATAACGATACAGACAATGAATGTTTATTATAATTAAATTATAAATCCACATAAAATAATGGTAATTATATTAAATGTAACTTATTTCTAGAACCTCATGTGCTACTGTTTCGTAGACCAAGGACTGATTGTTTAATAACTACAAGACCCACATCTTTTCAAAGGGAATACTAAAGTGTACATCAAGTTTATTATCTGTGTCTAATAACTGATATATTATTTAGTGAAATGTGTATATGAAACATAATGATTTAAGGCAAATTAGAAGAATTTATAGTTTGAATGACACTATTGTAGTGATCGATTGTTATAATCATGTTCTTGTTACACTTAATATGATAATTGTTGCTTTGTAAGTTTTGAAGCACAATGTTTAAATGGATAAAGTTCGTTCATGTATAACTAATTAGTATTTGAGATCTAATAATCTTCTGCCAACATTTTTTCATCAAATATGTATAAATATCTAATTATTTTAATTTGTACAATTTTGCGAAATTTGTAACAATGTTTTGCTAATCATTGTATAAAACAAAACAAATCTGTGTAAATATTATTGATTAAAAATGATACAATATCTTGGAATTTGTAATTTGTTTCAAAAAACTTAATACAATGTAAGTACGTGTCATTACACACTGATGTAATCAAATTATTTTGAAATTATAAAATTAATAGCACAACATAGTTACCATCGGCATGTAATTAATCAAGCTAATTTAATTCAATATAAGCGTATGTTAAGCTCTGTATACATATAGCTTACTTATTTAGATTAAGTTTAATGTATTTATTAATATAGTGTACTAATAAAATACTTGTTACCAAAATTATAATCCTTTATAATAAATTTTATATTTTTTTTTATAATATGAAAGTTAAAATAAAATGTCAATAAAAAATGGATAAGTAATTAACGTGAGTATAATCTTTTAAAAAATTCCTATTATTTTTAATAATACATACTATATTGATACCACTATTTATTCTAAAAGAAAAATCATTCAGAGAGAATTTACTTCAGAACAATGTATTTTCTCGATTTTTTTAACATTTATTTATATCATTATTAATTATCTTTACAGTTTCCATAATAATTGTATAATAAAAATTCATATAATTAATTGAAATATGAAGTAATCTAGTGTTGTTGTATTAGTTCTTAAAATTTATATGAACAAAATACATTTTACGTAATAGAAGTATTTATAACTTACCAATATCTTGTTAATATTTGTAATAAATAACAGGTGAAATATTCACATTGGATCTGCTATGAAATGAAAATGCATGTAATACTTATACAATTTATTTGAAATTCTATTACTGAATTTTATATGCTAACATGTTAGTTCCTTATTAATTTATAAAGCACAATGATGGGACAAGGAAGGGTAATAAATGAAAAGCAGTCCTTTGGTATTGTATAACATTAATTCTATGTTTTAAATAATCCACTAATTAACTTGAAATGACATTAAAGAGGTGCTTTTTCAATAAGTTTAAACCAATAACCACATTCACAACGGCGAGGTTTGCCTTGGTGTAACCACATCCAATTAACGTGAGAAGCATCTGGTTCACAAACACATCCAACAATACGACTTTTGAATGCACTAGGTACTAGATTTGGATTTTGTTTTGAGCTAGTCTTTTGTATTTGTATTGCTTTCATGTTGTATGGATCCTGCAATAGAAAATTATATAAATTGAACTTTATAATTTAATGTATTCAACTTAAATAAACTTCAATAAAATTTAAGATTCCATTGTTCATTTAAGTAATGATAAATTCATTTATATATGCATTTTGAAATGCGTTTTACTTTGCAAAGATTTGAAATATACTTAAGAAATATGAGAATGAAAAAGGAAATCATAAACACACATGCTTATTTAACTACTTGCTTTTAAAGAAAAAGGATTTAATATCTTCTGATCAAAAATATTATCCAATGTGTAATAATAATATAAGAAAAATACACATACTTTTCTGGTACGAAGATTCATGCAATATATATATTAAAGTTTTCAAATTAAGATTTTTTTATATTAATGAATAGTGAATTTTCAAACGAATTCAAGGACAGTGGAAAACCCTTTATTAATTTATATACAGAATTGATAGAAAATTACGATATTTCATAACTAATAAAAGAAGTACAATAAAAAGAATGTATCACAGTTTAAATAGTTTACTCGATCCATGATATAGTACTTAATGAATGAAATGATATATTATATTATTATACTCGCTACCGTGTTGAAAGTAACGTGCATTTCATGAGCGCAAAGTGTGACATTATCTTGATTTTTACGTAGTGTAAAAACTTACAAAATTGCCAGCAGCAGCAGCAAGTAATTCCCGTTTCTCCAAACCCGTAGCAAGATCCAATGGATCAGCGAATGCTGTAGCGAAAAATGATTATAAATAAGAATTTTATTTGTACTTAATACAAATGTTACAGAAATAATAAATTGTACTATTATATTACGTAATACGAAGACGCAAAAACTTAAGCTCGATTTCTTAAATTAAGGAGAATATCTGTAATTTACTTTTGTCCTTTGAACACGCAACAGCGTTCAGGGAGAATGTACGTCGACATGTCTGGAAAACAGCACGACCGCATAACCATGCCATTTTTCAGATTACACCGTTACTTTACCGAACCAAAAAGGTGTTCACGGCACGAACAAGTCTCACGAAAAGTGACTAAAGAGTGTCAACCCTGATGACACTTCACAATCGATTGATCAAGTGGCGCATTTTCATAAAAACCATACAATGTTGCGTATCGCTACTTTTGATAGAGATAAATTAATTCCCATGTCACTCCTAGATGGCAGCGGAGACCCGTTTGCCCGTTGTTACGGAATGTGAATGAGCCTTTGCGTTTGACAATTCTGTTTGAAGTTAGTTTAGCGCCAACTACGATTTTCTTGAATTTACGGTATTTCGTATTCTTTTTATTGCATTTTATTTAAAACAATTTGTTAATACTCACTCGCATAGCGACCGTTAACTAGTATAGACGTCTATTGTAAAAGCTTGTATTTAAAGTAAAGAAATTCAACTTTTGTGTTAAATTAGTTATATTTTAACAGTTATAATAAAGTTCATATTACATTTCGTAGTACGTAGTTCATTTGTATAAAAGTCGGGGATGTTACGAGCCAGGGCGATAGCGACGCGCGTGTGAGCCCTGCGAGTGGGGTGGATTCGAGAATTGGACCGATACGATTAATTAGTATGTGTCAATGTAGCCGAAGATTTGAGGATAGAGTAAATAATGCAGACGACTCTGACGCGAAGTCAGATAGTTGCAGGAATCGGTATCTCCCAGTGAAGGGTAACCGTAGGTTAAGGTGTTTGGTTGGCTTGGTTATTGAAGACAAACGCAGACGCCTCTGACGCGAAGTCAGGTAGCTGCTGGGAATTGGTATCTCCCAGTAAAGGGTAACCGCAGGATAGGTTAAGTTTAGGAGTTCGGGTTGAGTACACAATGACTAAATCGTATCGTTAAAATGTAACACGCGTCGTTAATAAAGCCTCGCAACTTGTTAATTTAATAGAATAATAACTCGAGCGGTAAAGTTATTATGTTGTGGGATCGTTACATTGGCTAGGATTAAAATCCTGAAAGGAACTGAAGCCCGATCTCACTAGAGTACTCTACAGACGATCAATGTGTCTCTAACGAATAACTCTTTCGTACTAGCCCCCGAGCAACAAAAATCGTGTGTTTATATACCCCTAAATGTTGGTGAGGAACCGCCAGTGATTTCCATATTAGGAAATTTGACGGTTAGGATTTTCGTTGCTCTGAGGTCGGCAGCTGTGTGCCCTGGGAAAAGGGTAGATTAGAAGTATCCCACGCAACGCGAGTCAAAGATGATATTAAGAGAATGCAGGTGCAGGATGCACTCCAGTGAGACCGAGCTCCAAATTCCAGAAGAGTAGATAAAATAAGATTAATGAACGCGAGCTTCTAAAAACGGAGAGTTTCCGTATACGTAACAGGGAAAATAAAAGTTTTAAAAACATTTCCTAAAATTTAACCAGTTATTTCTTATATTTTTCATTATACAGGGTGTCCCAAAAATGTTGTAATACCTTGAAAAAGGTGGTTCGGAAGGTGATTTGAAACAATTTTTTCCTTAGCGAAAATGTTGTTCGAGGCTTTGTTGAGGAGATATTAACAGAAAACCCCGACCAATCAGAGCGCGCGTATACCGTTGGAGCGGCCGTGGTAGCGAAGGCTGCGAGCTAAGCGGCCGCATCCAATGTCCTTCGATGCACGTCGAGTCGCTTATTCGCGTTCAAGCGCGGCCGTTTAGCACATGGCATAGCTTCATGGCATGTAGCGCCACAACACGGAATAGCTTAAACACTACTGCATCTAGAATATATTTATATTCAAATTAGGAGCGGAATTCAAATGGATTAACGCATTGAATCAACGAACCGCCACGTACATTGTTAAAACATTCAACGTGGGTGATCAAGCGTGGAAAAGTCGAAAGTCAGGAGAGAAAAGGGAACGTTCGCTGAAAATACTTAATAGATTCATTATAGGCCGTGTCGAATCGCCGTTTCCGTTGGAATGCATTTCTTTAAAATTTGAGTCGAGTTAGCTTTTGTTCCAGCTCGTAAGATCCTTGAAAATAACAGACTCGCGCTGTACCTCGGTTCGCGTTTCCGGCGACTTCTTCAAGAGGGTAATAAGAGGGTAGCCCTGCACAAACATGGCCGCGTGACTTCCACCTCCACCCGACTTGGGGGTGGATCCGAGATCGATGAAGGTCACCAATAGAAGGAATAGGGCGCAACCACCGATTGGACCAGGACAACCCGAAGGGAGGATCGGGAATCTTCCGGAGAAGGGAGAGACGCAACAGATTGAGCGAGGATTTTCCGGAGAGTTCAATCGTAATCGAACCTCTGGTAACGAACTACGAAACGATTTAAACCAAACGAGTCGACTGAATAAACGTCTTTGCTATTTCCTAAAAGTATTTCGAATTTTTATTTCACGCGTCTCTCAGGGCAGAGTGGTTCAGCGTTCCACGGGCATCTTACCCACGTCAGAAAATTTCCTATCACCGCACGATGCGTTCCGCAACAATATGAACAAAGTCAAAAGAAAGAAAAATAGTTTTCCCCTCACACCTTCGCTAACTGAGGAACATCTAGGGATTTTGATACCTAGATGTTTCCGCAGTTTTAAGGAGAAGGAAGCGTAGTTGTTTTGTTAGCACTTCTTCCCGGACTAAGTAGGCGTACACGTCTACCGCGAATCGTAAAGTCCCTAAATTGTTATTTCTATTCTTTTTCTGTTATTAAAACTTTGTTAATTAAACCGTGTTGTTATTTCGTAATAAGTTCTGTAGGTTAGATTTGGTACATAAATACCTACAATTGGTGACCCCGGCATTCACGCGATAGTTTTATTTCGCGCTCACACCATTTTTTTTACGTGTTGTTGTAACACGTGGTCGGAAAAAAAGCAATGGAAGCAATGGAAGAGAATAACGACACACAAGTGAACGCGATCGCAAGGGGAGATACCCTAATTTTCGGCCAGATAGGCCAGACTTATGGTTTATTTCGCTGGAAGCCCAACTCCATTCGCGTAACATAAAATCGGACTGTTCGCGTTATTATACGTTAATCAGCCGCCTGACTAAAGATACGCTCGCTGTGGTAGAGAGCGTAATAAAAACCCTCCAGCCACTGTCAAGTTGGACAAAATCAAATCAGTGCTTTTGGGGCATTACGCAGTGTCACAGGAAGATAAGTTTCGGAAGTTGACGTCGGGCTTGGAATTAGGCAGCAAAAAGCCATCAA